CAACTAGTGTGCCATTAGCCACACACGGAACTATGCCAGGGAGAAGGTTTCATGAAGGGGCCAGCTGGGTCGCAAGTTGTCCGTGAGAACTCAGCAGCATGGCCAGAGGCAAAAGGGCTCTTGTCCCAGAGAGGCCAGACACAGGCCTTCAACCAGGCCAGCCAGCTGGCTGCCTAGGAGGAGGAAGCAGCACTTTCCAGCAATGGCTGCTTTACAGCCTGTGCTTTCTTTGTTTATTCCTTTCTAATTCTTTGTCAAGAAAGTTTATTTGAAAATACTAGGGGATAGCAAAAAAGGGTTGGCTTTTCTACCACATTTAAGCCAGAATTGTATTATTTTATTTAATATGTGAACATTTTTTCCGGCTTATAAAAATAATGTATGCTCTATGCAATTTGGAAAATTTAGAAAAAAAAATACAAAAAAAAAAATCAACCATCATCTTGTCCACTAGAAATAACCTCTTACAAACATTTTAATGTCAAACTTTCCTCAATCCATATATTTTTCACAAAACTAAAACTAGTATCATACTATATGTAGTTTTCTATCCTTTTCCTGGCTAATCATTACATTGTGAACATTTTTACATTTCCTTCAAAAATTTTTTTTCCAAAAAAAAAATTTTTTTTAATAGAGGCATGTTTTATTTATTTATTTTATTTATTTGTTTGTTTTGTTTATACATGCACTGGGTACAGTCAGAAGCGCGGGAGGGTGAGAGAATTCACCAGAGCCAGAGCGGGGAGCAGAGCAGGCAGAAGGACCGAAACACACTGCTGAGGGGAGCAGCGGGCGGCAGGAGAGGTCTGCGCGCCATGTGGGACCCTCCTCCGGTGGCCGGGGAGCAGCCGGGGATCGAATGGGCGCCGCGGAGGCCGCGGGCAGCTTCGCAACCCAGTGCTCAACCGCTGCGCCACCGGGGAGGCCCTGTTTAATAATTTTAAATTATTAGCCATAGAGGTTGTTTCTCACTTTCCCCATTATTAAAATTTATGATATACATATTAATCACTATTAATGATTAAGTGTATGTATATTTATCTCTACTTCTAGATTTCTACTAAGAATATAGAATGAAAAGGTCAATTTTGAAGCTCTTCAAATGTATTTCAAATTTGTTTTCCAAAAAAAAATGTATAAACAATTTATACTCTAGTTAGCAGCCAACTGGAGTGTCCATTTCACCTCAACAACACTAAGAATTATAAAATTTTTACTTTTGGTGATTTGATAAGTGTAAAATAGAAGTTCATTTTCATCTACAATTTACTGGTATCGGTAGGTTAGATAAGTTTTCTTACATTTACTACCTGCTATGGCTAAATTGTGTTCCCCCAAGTGCATATTTTAAAGTCCTAATCCTCAATGTCATGGGATTTGGAAATAGAACCTTCGGGATAATTAGGTTTAGATGAAATTGTAAGGGTAGGTTTCTCATGATGAGATTAGCATCCTTATAAAAAGAGACACCGGACAGCTTGTTCTGTCTTTATACCAGGTGAGGGAATGGGGAAAAGCAGCTGGCAATAGGAAGAGAGCCCTCACCAGAACCCAACTAGTCTAACACCCTGATCTCAGACTTTCAACCTCCAGCATCACAAAAAAACCAAACTTTTGTTGTTTAAGCCACCCAATCTATCATATTTTGTTAAGACAGTCCAAAAAGACTAAGACACTAGACATCATGGATTTTCCATGTGTTTTATTTGCCCTTTATTAGGAAAGGTTTCATTTGTGTAGATCTGGAAAGGGAGGCATATATAGAGTATCCAAAGAGGGATACCAAAGCATGGCAAAATTCAAAAAGATAGAAGGAAGGCCACTTGTGTCCCAGAGGGCTTTCATAAGGTCCTCTGTGCTAAGGGTTTAAAGGGCTCATCCATGACTTAGTCTATTTGGGTTACTAGAACCGAACACCATACATCGGGTGATTCATACACAATAGAAATATATTTTTCATAATTATGGAGATTGGGAATTCCGAGGTCAAGGCATAGGCATAGTCTTTATCTGGTGAGAGCTGCTTCCTTGTTTGTAAACAGCTGCCTCTTGCAGTTCCCTCACATGATGGAAGGGGAAAGGGAGCTCTCTGGGGACTTATCTATAAAAAGCACTAATTCCATTCATGAGGGCTCTGCTTCACCTTCCAAAGACTCATCTCCAAAAACCGTCACATTAGAGATTTCAACATATGAATTTGAGGGGATGCAACATTCAGTCTATAGCTTGCTCATATTCTTTCATTTTAACAAAATCTAAATTCTGTGATTTGAAATTGATATCAATTTCCTTAGGTGCATGTGAAAACAGCTGTCCATATGGGACCCCAGTGATCTCCTATGCCTTTACTGTGACATTCATATTCTTCCTGGAGTTCCAGAAGTTTGGTGCTGTTGAAAGTAACCTTCTAGGGCCTCCCTCATGGCACAAAGGGTTGAGCACAGCGCTGTGAAGCTGTCCACAGCCTCTGCAGTGTGAGTTCAATCTCCAGCCAGGGAGCTACCCATATGGCACAGCAGACCTCTCCTGACTCACCCGCTGCTCCCCTCAGCAGTGTATTTCAGTCATTCCTCCTGTTCTGATCCCCACTCTGTCTCTCGTGAATCCTCTCACCCCCTTCACCTCTGGCCTGTACCCCAGTTCTAGTATGCATAAATAAATCGTTAAAAAATAAAAGAAAAAAGAAAATAACCTTCTAGAGAACAACTATCATTTCTAGATCAAGAGAAATTTTCCTTGGCTTATTAAATATGTCAAGATAATCTATACCTGCACGATCCAATACAATTGGTAGTAATTACATGTGGCTATTGAGTACTTCAAATGTGGCTAGTCCAAATTGACATGTGCTATAAGTGAAAAATGTACCCAACCGGAGGACTGAAAATGATTTTGTATTGAATCCATGTTGAAGTGATTATATTTTGGATAGATTGGCTTATATAAAATAGATTATCAAAATCAATTTCACCTGTTTCTCTTCCTTCCTTAATGTTTTTGTAGGACATTCAAGTGGGTAAAATTGCAGAGAACTCAGTAGAAATGTTTGGGCTAAAAACAGTTTCAGAGACACAGATGATAGTAGTTAAAAGTCATTGTGGTGGGGCCTCCCCTGGTGGCCCAGCGGTTGAGCGCTGGGTTGTGAGGCTGCTTGCAGCCTCTGCAGCGCCAGTTTGATCCCTGGCCACAGGCGAGGGGCCCACAGGGGGGAAAAAAAAAGTCATTGAGGTGTTCTATTAGCACAGAGTTGTTCTATTTGCTGATGGAATGGCCTAATGTACCCCACCCTCAGCTGACTATGATTGCTGTCCCCCTGCCCAAAAAGGCTGACTGTTCTTAAAATAGTAAGTTCTCTGACTAACTTGAGTTGAACATATAACCCAATAGTCTTTAAGTGAGATATGCAAACCCCTAGGAGTCCACAAAAGCTTTCTAAGTATAAATAGTGTAAAGGAATTGATTTCCAGATCACCACTATTCATATGTATTCTTTTTTTTTTTTTGAAGATTTATTTATTTATGCATACAAGAGCTGGCGTGCAGGTCAGAGATGCGGGGGGTAAGAGGAGTCACTAGAGACTGAGTGGGAAGCAGAACAGGCAGATGTACTGAAATCCACTGCTGAGGGGAGCAGCAGGCGAGACAGGAGAGGTCTGCTGTGCCATGTGGGTCACCTACCTGGCCGGGGATTGAGCTTGTGCTGCAGTGGCTGCGGATAGCTTCATAATGCTGTGTCTTAACCCCTTGCGCCACCAGGGAGCCCCTCATATGTTTTCTCTACTAAAACTGATCTGCCTGGGAACACATTTTACAATTTTCTCATTTTTTCCTTTCATAATCACTTCTCCCACTCTAGAAAATAAAGGCCTGCTTTTCACCTATCTGGAACTTATTATAAAGAAAACTGAGGCAGAGAGATTTAGAAATCACACAATCAGTAACTGGAAAATTCAGGAAGCAAACCTAGAATATCTCATAAGAGATAATCCCCTTAAATTGTTGGGGGAGGGGGGGAGGGAACCGACTCCTGTTTGAGGCAATCTTGGTTGGGAGTCCTTCCCTTCACAAAAGTCTTGGCGTCCATTCTCTGGACTAACCTCAAACTGCTCCTTTGTAACTTACCCCAGTCTCACTGTGGGCCAATCCACCAAACCCCCTCAGGTCCTTATCTAAGGCGCCACTGTTAGGGGGAAAAGGATGTCCTAAAGCTAATTCCATACAGGCTTTGTGGACTCCACCCCCACCCCAGGCCAAAGCCAAAGACACTGGGAACTCCAAATCCCATCACCACCAAAGGGAAGGTGACTGGGACCTGAGGGTGGGGTTAAGCAGCCAGGTTGCTATAAAGCCAGACACGTGGGCTTTGGAGGGGTCCCCCATTTTGACTCTCCGCCAGCTCGCAGCATCCGGCCAGCTCAGAGAGTGCTTTTTGGGTTTCCAGGTCGTCGGATGGGGTAGGACGCATTAAAGACTTTATTTCCCTATTTTTTCCCTGAGTTGTACATTTTCCTTATTTCCTTTTCCCTTGTAAATAAACCTTTTATTAACCTTTTGTGTGTGCCTGTAGTGGAGTATTAATAAGTCCCTTGTAAGCGCGCGGGGGTGAGGACCCACAGCCAGCAAACACGTTCAATATCGGGGCTGCCCTATAATATAACACCAGTACTGCCCACTCTCCAGATTTTCCTCTTCGGATGCTAGGACACTTTTTTCTCACTACTTTTGTCCTCTTGTTCAAATCTTAAAAGTTGGAGTTTGGGATTTCTGTCCGGAGGCCCTGTGCTTTCTCCCTAGTAGACGTGCCCCACTCCCCCGCCAGCCACCCGTCTTCTCTCTGACCTCCATCTTCAGCTCAGCCCGCCGCCTGGTCCAAAGCTAGCTTTATCCTTTCCCAATCCGCTTCTCCTTCACTCGCTCTCCACCACCCCCTAGACGCCCCTCTAGAATGGCTTCTGGCTCCTCCCTCTGGTAATTCCGCAGCCTCCTGGCTCCAGTACCTCGCATATCTGAGGGATGTAGTTCTTCTTGAAGTAATTCCTCAGCCTGGGGCTGGCAGTGCGCAGCGAGGACATAACCAGGGTTTGAAAATCTGCGTTCCCGCCTGCTCCCCACGGAAGCAGCGCGGAAGGCGTCGGGCTCGCAGCCCAGAGCGAGCGCGTCTTGCCGTTGCCCTGGCAACCGCGGGGCCGGAAGCGGCGCCGCGCCACGCGGGGACGCCGGGCGATTCCTGCAAGCGGCGGCCTCGGGAGGGACCCCGGGCTCGCGCGCGCGGGATGGGCCGGCGGGGAGGCGGGGGGAAGCTGGCCTCCCGTCCGCACCCCGCAGCGTCCCTTCTCTGGGGCACCAGGCTGCAGCTCCTCACAGACACCCTCTCGCCAGCCCTCGCGCCCCGCCCCGTGGAAGCCGCCGGGGCGCGTCTGGGGCCGAGTAGGAGGTTTCTGGGTTTTAGCTGGGCGGTTTCCGGGAGGCGGAGCTCCGACCCCCATTTCCTCTCAGCGTCGCCCGCCGGTGCCCCAGCTACCTCGCCAGCCGCTGGCCTTGGGGTCTCGCGCGCCAGGCCCAGCGCTGCGCCCGCGCCCCAGCCCCGGCGGCAGCATGGGCGGCGCCCGGCACGCGGGCTGGGTGGCGGCGGGCTTGGTCCTGGGCGCCGGGGCCTGCTACTGCGCGTACCGGCTGGCGCGGGGCCGGCGGCGAGGCGACCGCGAGCCTCGGCTGAGACCCTCGGAGTCCGCAGGTGAGGCCCCCGGGAGCCTGGCAGGTGGGCGGGACGGGGGACCTGGGCCTTCCGAGGCCGGGGTCGGGGTGCGGGGCCAAGACGCACCTGGTGCTCGAGGCTTTCAGGTGCGCTTAGTAAAATAAGGGGCTGAGCGAGAGGAGAGAGGGTGACGCGTGAAGAGGGCGAGGAAGCCCAGGTGCAGAAGGTGGAGCAGCCCCTTGATTGGAGCGGGTAGGGTCTAGAGCCGCCGCCTGCCTTCTCTTTGTTCCCAATTCTGGCGTGAAAACTCGCCCCAAGATTGGCGTCACCCGAAGGTTTAGGTTTCTCAAAAGCATGTTGGTTGCCTCCGAGCCCCTGTGCTACCAAAGGGACTCCCGACTGTTGAGAAATTCTGCGCGCTTTTTACCCTTGGGGAAGAGTCGCCGCCGGGGCGGGCGGTGCGGGAAGGGGGAGGTGCGTCGAGTTTTGCGTGGATTTGCTTGGCTTCTGAGAGGGGAGGTGCCCCTCAAGTCACTATGGTCCATATAAATGCAAAGTTGAAATGGGATCCCGAGAGACACTGAGGGAGAGCAAACTGCAACAGACAAACTTGTGATTAGGTTTTTGGCTAAATGTAATTGAAAGTTGATTGGTGCGTTCGGGATTCTTCTTTGGTGAAAGTTCTGGAAGGATATTTCAGGCCGTGGAAGCTGGGAGGGTAATAAAGACAATACTCCTGCCAACCAAGAAACTCCTCTCCAACTGTGGAAAAGAACTAAACCACTTTATTATTGAATAAGCATTACTAGATAGCCATGCACACGACAGGCAGTCTGCATTATAATGGGATTGCAAAAACAATTCTAATTTACGTAACCAGGTGATAGAAACTATTCGTATTACCTGCACTCTGACAAGATAAATTGCACCACTTGCTACACATAGTTCATCCTAAATTCACTGGGACTTGATCACTGTTTGTGATCACTAATTGCCTTTATCCAGGAGAAGAATAACACCTCTCTGTACGGTTAAGCCGGTGGTTACTGTTGCTAGAAGGAGCCAGGTGCCCATCGTAAAAGGCAAAGACAAGGAGATCAGGGTCCTGTTGTCTTCGGTATTTACTTTTTAAACAGATGACTTCAAAGCCCCTGAAAAATACTTTGGGGCATCGTAGGAGACTTACTTGTAAGGCATTTTACATTATGTTTGACAGATAGATATGGAGTTTATAATTACTAGTATAATCAAGCAAATGCTCTAAGAAAGGGGAGTGGGGAAACCTCTGTTTTGACCCAAGGGGAAATCCTTTTTAAAAAATTATATTTACTTTTATTTACAAAGACTAGTTTGTTGCTTGTCAGAGTAATTTCTGTGTAAGTAATTGACCAGGTGACCTGGACTCAACCTAATGAACACTGACAAAGTCTTTTAAACTTAGTTATCAGTTTCCCAAATCACCATTTCCTAAGTCAGACAACTTAAAAGTAAGTCACAGTTCCCTTCTGTAGTGGCAAGATGGCACAGAGCAGGATCTCTATGATTCTATGCAGACGGGTACAGGGTAAAGGAGAGTCCTGGAGCCCTCTGTGGCTTTTTCAGGCTTTTATTGGGATTTTACCAAGTACAAGGCAGGTGGGGGTGCGCGCCCCCCCTCTCCCCCAAGGCTGGCAGGCCACCCAACCCCCAGCAAGTCTTCACTCTTCCTGGGCGCTCCAGTGTTCTCTCCTGGTGATGTTCTCCCTTCTGCTTCACTTTTTTTGTTTTTAAATATTTATTTATGCATACAAGAACTGGAGTACAGGCCAGAGGTGAGGCCCGGTGAGAGGATTCATCAGAGGCAGAGTGGGGAACAGAACAGGCAAATGGACTGACGTACACTGCTGAGGGAAACAACTGGCGAGACAGGAGAGGTCTGCTGCCCCATGTGGGCTCCTCCCTGGCCGGCCAGGGATCAAACTCATGCTGCAGTGGCTGTGGATTGCTTCATAGGCTGTGGATTGCTTCATAACCCCTTGTGCCACCAGGGAGGCCCTGCTTCTCTTTCTCTGTCATTCTCTTCTTGCTCATTCCCGGTGACACCACCCTTATATGTATGCCCAGTCTCAGCCCAGGTGTACCCACCTAAGTATGCCCACACACCACTCCAGGTGCCCACCATCAGGCATGTGTTCAGGACCACAGGGATCCATCATCCACACTAATGGCGGGAGGGCAAAAAAAGCCTGACAATAAACTTACCCTGCACCTTCCTTAACCTTTATCTTTGAAGATGAGAAATTTCCATTGTTTGAGTTATTCTTAGATTTCAGAGGGTCTTTTTTTTTAAGTGAGATACAATTAATCTATACTGTATTAGTTTCTATGTACAGCTTAATGTGTACAGTGGGATATGATCACCACAATAAGTATAGTAACACCTATCACCGCACAGAATTTGTTTTTTTTCTTGTGGTGAGAACATTTAAAATAGGTAGTATTCACTGTAATCATCATGCTGTGCATTACATCTCCAGAGCTTATTTGTAACGGAAAGTTTATACCTTTTGATACTTTCACTCCCCAGTAAGGCAACCACCAATCTGCTTTGTGAATCTGTCAGATTTATTAAATCCATGTGTATGTGAGATTATATTGTATTTGTCTTTCTCTGTTTGACCTATTTCATTTAGTATAATGCCCTGAAGGCCCAGTCCATGTCACTAATAGCATGATTTCCTTCCTTTTTGGGGTTAAATGAGAGAGAGACACAGACATATCAGTTGGCCATCTTTATGTCCTCTGGAAAAATGTCTATTCAGATCCTCTGCTCACTTTTTAATCAGTTTGTGTGATTTGTTAAGGTGTTTGGAGGTTTTTGCTATTGAGTTGTATTCGTTCTTTATATAAATGAGTTCTTTATGTATTAGTTCTTTGTATATCATATATTACCTATAAATATATATTATATATTTTTATGTATTAACATTATATATTTATTAACCCATTATCAGGTATGATTTGCAAATCTCTTCCAGTCAGTAAGTTCCCTTTTCATTTTGTTGATAATTTCCTTTGCATCCAGAATTTTATTTTACTTTGATGTATTCTACTAGTTTATTTTACTTTGTCAAATCACAAAATTCATTGCTAAGACCAGTGGTTTTACCACAATACTTCCAGAAGTATTGTGGTTTCGGTTCTGAAAATTTTTAAATCTATATTGAGTTGATCTTTGTATAGTGCATGATTGTGAGCCAGTTTCTTTGTAGCTGTGCAGTTTCCCCAACACCATTTATTATAGAGACTATCCTTTTCCCCATTATATATTTTGACTCCTTTGCCATAAATTTGTTGATCATGTATGTGTGGGTTTATTTGTTGGCTCTCAGTTCTGTCATGTTCTTCTGTGTGTCTGCTTTTATGACAGTACTGTTGATTACTACAGTTTGTAATATAGTTTGTAATAAAGTGTGATGCCCCCCAGCTTGTTCACCTTGAGATTATTTTGACTATTCAGGACCTATCGTGTACATACAAATTTTAGGATTGTGTATTTCTGTGAAAAATGCCAGTGTGATTTTGTGGGGTTTGCTTTGCATATATAGATGGCTTTGGGTAGTATTAACAGTATTAATTCTTCTCATTTATAATTATGCTGACTCTTATCTGTGTGTTCAACCATCCTTGATGCCCTGAAATAAATTCCTCTCAGTGTATGATTCTTCCAGTGTCTGTTGAATTCAGTTTGCTAGTATTTTGTTGAGTACATTTGCATTTATCTTCATTAGAGATACTGGTCTATAGTAAGACTCATAAAATGTTTTTGGAGATAGTCCCTCTTCAACTTTTCAGAAGAGTTTGACAAGTGTAGGGTTTTTTTGTTGTTGTTATTCTTTTTAATTTGTTACAACTCATTAGTGAAGCACTCTGATCCTGGGCTTTTGTTTTGGGGGAGTCTTTTGATTACTGTTTCTATTTCCATGTGATAGGTCTGTTCAAATTTTCTATTTCTAGCTGATTCAGTCCTGGAATGTTTTATGTTTCTAAGAATTTATCCATTTTTTCTAGATTGTCCAGTTGTTACCATATAGGCATTTATAACTACTCTTATGTGGGTCTTTTGTATTTCTATCTGTTGTTACATCTCTCATTTCTGGTTTTATTTGAATTTTCTGTCTTTTCTTTAATTCTGGCTAAAGTGGTATCTTTTTTTTAGTCTGTTAATCTTTTCAGAACCAATTCTTTTCATTTATCTTTTGAATTACCCTAATTTCATTAATTTCTGCTGTTAAGTTTTAATTATTTTCTTCTCACTTTGGCTTTTTTTTTTTAAGATTTATTTTTATTTATGCATGCAAGAACTGAGGTGTAGACCAGAGTGGGGAAGGGGCAGGTGGGAGGATTCACAGTGGAGAGCAGAACAGGTGGATCTGAAATACACTGCTGAAGGGAGCAGCGGGCGGCGGGACAGGAGAGGTCTGCTGCGCCATGTGGGTCGCCTCCTTGGCCAGGGATCGAACTTATGCCGCAGTGGCTGGCAATAGCTTGACAGTGCTGAGACTTTAACCCCCGTGCCACCAGGGAGGCCCCATTTAATTTTTCTTATTGAGATAACATTGGTTTATAACTCTGTATGTTTTAGCGTATGGATTCTGTTTGGGCAGCAAGGCACAGAGCAGATTCTCTCATCTATTCAGGCAGACTAGTAAAGGCAAGTCCAGAGCCCTTGGTGGATTTTTTTTCAGGCATTAATGCGTTTTCTATGCCAGTGCTTGTGGGGCAAGCCCGCAGACTGGCAAAGCAGGGAGGCCAGGAGGCTGACAGGCCTCCAGCCCCTGACGAATAGTTACTCTTTGGGCTCTCTCTGGCGTCCTCTTATAGTCCTCCCTCTCTGTAGTCACTTGTCCTCTCGCAGCCTTTCCGCCACAGCCACCTCTGTGTGACGCCACCCTTACAGCCTCCGCCGCCAGGTTCAGGTGTGCTCGCTTATGCACGCCCACACCATACTCCAGGTGTCCACCATCAGGCTCGTGTCCCCCGAGCCCATGCTCCTAAGA